TATGGGCTAAAAAAAAAAAAAAAATGATGAAAGGTATTTTTTTGTTGTTATTTTGTTTTTGTTTTGTTTTTGTTTTTTTGTTTTGTGAGGAAGATTGGCTCTGAGCTAACATCTGTTGCCAATCTTCCTCTTTTTGCTGAGGAAGATTAGCCCTGACCTAAATCCGTACTCATCCTCCTCCACTTTCTGTATGGGATGCTACCCCAGCATGGCTTCATGAGCCGTGTGTAGGTCTGAACCCAGGATTCGAACCAGCAAATCCCAGGCCACCAAAGCAAAGCGCGTGAACTTAACCACTACGCTGCCAGGATGGCCCAAAACTGTTTGTTTCTTAAATTTTGTTCATACATTGAAAACAATATTGCTTTTACTCTAAATTGACCTGCCTGAGATCAGCCTACTTACTTATGCAAGCTAGGCAAAAATACTTACAGGGATTCTAAATAGAACACTAACCACATTATTCTTTTCCTTAGATCAAAGGGATTATATCTGTGAATATTGTGCTCGAGCCTTCAAGAGTTCCCACAACCTGGCTGTGCACCGAATGATTCACACGGGCGAGAAGCCATTACAGTGAGTATTTATTTACTTGTGAACATCTGGATGAGAAGTGCATATACCCTACTTGAGAGTGAGCCCCTTTTCAAACATTTCAGCTGCAACTGCTCTTTACTTTTACCAAGTTGAAGAGTGAGTTATTTCTCTATTTGATCAGCCGTTTCCTCTTCCACTCTCCTTAGATGCGAGATCTGTGGATTTACTTGTCGGCAAAAGGCATCCCTTAATTGGCACATGAAGAAGCATGATGCAGACTCCTTCTACCAGTTCTCTTGCAATATCTGTGGCAAAAAATTTGAGAAGAAAGACAGCGTAGTGGCACACAAAGCTAAAAGCCACCCTGAGGTGCTGATTGCCGAAGCTCTGGCTGCCAATGCAGGTGCCCTCATCACCAGCACAGATATCTTGGGCACTAACCCAGAGTCCCTGACACAACCTGCAGATGGTCAGGGTCTTCCTCTTCTTCCTGAGCCCTTGGGAAACTCCACCTCTGGAGAGTGCCTCCTGCTAGAAGCTGAAGGGATGTCAAAGTCATACTGTAGTGGGACAGAACGGGTGAGCCTGATGGCTGATGGGAAGATCTTTGTGGGAAGTGGCAGCAGTGGGGGCACTGAAGGGCTGGTCATGAACTCGGATATACTCGGTGCTACCACAGAGGTTCTGATTGAAGATTCAGACTCTACTGGACCTTAGTGGAAGGGAAGACTTTGGGCACTGGGACAGCTCAGACTTTGTATTTAAAAGATAAAAAGGACAAAAAAAATTTAAAGCATTTAAAATCTAGTTAAATAACTGAAGGGCCTGCTCTTTCCATTGTGGATCACAGCACACACACACACATACACCCACCCCTACTTCTCCCTCTATTGTCCTCTTTATAAAATTGGTCTTGCCTTTACCAGAAAGGTAGATTAAAAAAATAAATAAATAAGCAGCAGCAGCTCTTAAAGTGAGGGTTATACTCAGTTCCAGCCAGGCAGACTTCCTGCTCGTTGGCAGATCCCCTTTTCCAACCTGTAACTCTGATGTGCTCTGGATCAGCTTCTAACTCTTAATAGTATATTACTGTCTCATAAACCCCTTCTCCTCCTCTACTGCTGCCCCATGGTTCTGGCTTCTACCCACTGCAGCACACTTATCCTCAAAGTATCATATAATTCTAATCTCTGGAGGCTTGCAGCTTGACTTGGCACTTTAGGGCCCCTTAGCAGGGTGAGCTGTTAAAACAGCACACATCTCTCACCCCCTTCTTCTCCATTCCCCATTGGGTTTAGGAAAGGAAGGATACGTGGGGACCACCTCCCTCCTCTGACCCCAGCACCTCAGTCCCCCTCCCAACACCTCCATATGGTTCTCAATGGTGCTCACTTGCTTGGAAGCAGGCTCCCAACAGGGAGGGGGCTGCCCTCTACATGGCCTCTCTGACCGTAGGACAGGGCTCTGGATCAGTGAGACAGTGAGAAAAGTCCCAGACTAATGGCAGAAATTTGCACTTTGAACATGTGTGTTTTTGTGTTGTGGAACCTGAGATTCCTTATTTATTAATGGAAAAAATCTGATTTTTTTTTTTTTTTTTTTTGTCTTTGTTGCTATAATTTTGTGGGGCTGGGAGAGATTAGATTATTCTGATGTGGGGTCCTTTCCATAAGAGGTACTTTTGAAGGCAAGATACAGGGTTGAAGCAGCACAGCCCACCTCTGTAAAATCATAGCTCTCCAGTGGCCATTAAAGAAAGCTGGTCCTCAGCACTAACAAAGTCACTACAGTAGCCTAGTGCTTTTCCAGGAGCCTTTTTAGGGAAGGGTGTTAGGTTTGTGGTAATTAGTGCTCCTTGAGTTTTTAGAGCATTGGGATTTAGGAATTTTGTGGAGGTGAGGAAGGTTCCTTGTTCAGGGTCTGAATTACAGATAAAAGACTCTCTCTTGTGAATTTATTTTCTCTTTTGTCCCCATCATTTCTTTACACATGCCTCCCTGTTGGCCCAACTCTGGTCCTTTGCTTTGTTTTGCTTTTGCTTTGCTTTATCATTGGTTCATTCCAGCTCCCGATTAGTGAAGGACACTGCCGTTAGTGAAGGAATAGACTGAGAGTCATACAGTTTTAAGTCAAAGAAAATTGCTCTGTTTTGTTTCCCTTTTAATAACACTTCAGAAGAGGAAAGGCTTCAGTAGACAAAGTTAATAATCTGTATAATAATGGCTTTGGCTTTCACCTGAAGTTCTGGGAATTACCACTTCCCTTGAGAATAGGGATTTTCATGAGGTGGATTGCTTATTACTGTCCACAGGAAAGACTGGTAGTGTTTTGTACAAATTTGTAACTCCCAGAAGACTAAAAACATATTTTGGCTCATTTTTAAAGAATTAGAAGGGCAGTCTCTATCCTTCTGTATACCTCAGAAGCTGGAATTAAAGATTTGCCCTCTTCATTGTTTGTCAGAAATGTATGATGGCTGTTGGAAAGAATGAAGTTTTGCTGAGAACAAAATAAGGAACAGCTTGTTTTTCACAAACACTAAAACTACAAAGTTTATCAATTTTCTCTTTATTTTTTCCCAAAAAGAGGGGTAACAAAATGTCATCTCTGAAAGAGGCTTACTTTACACCCACTAGAGTCAGTGGTTGGGATGCCAGGGAATAGGGAGTGAAACACCTACAGTGAACAGTCTTAAATGCACTATTGTTCTTTTCAGAGTGTTGTAGATTTACCGTCCTTCCAGTGTGGGGGTAGAAAATGCAATAAAGATAGAAGGGGTGTAGATAATGCTTTCCTGCCCACAGTAAGGATTTGGAGTTGACTTTGGTATGTTGGGTAGATTTGAAAATACTATAAGATTGATTGGATGAGTCTACAACAAGGTTGTTCCACTCCCATATAAGTCCAGTTTGTACTGGCTTGACTAGCTAGCATCTATACCCTGCACTTACCTTTTTGTCTTTGTTGTGTTGATCTTATCCCATGTCTCCGTAAATTACCTTTGCAGTGGTTAGTCATCAGATGTTTTAGCCGCTTACACAAAAGCAAACTGCATTAAAAAAAAAAACCCAACTATGAGATAGAGGGAAAATATTTTCTTCCTCCTGTCATACTCCTTCCCCCACCAAAAGCAACTAGGTCTAATAATGAGAAAGTTTCTGTTCTTTCTTTTTTTTTCGGTCCTCTTCATAGCTACCATTTGCCTGCAATTTACTTCAATAAATTATTGTAGCAGTTTGCAATAAATTTTAAAATACTTTTCTTGGACTTTATTTTTTGCCTTTTGAGAAGATGATGCTAGCATAGTTAAGAGTTGGTGTAAGTAAACTATCTTATACTAGGCCCTCTTCCCTTTTCCTTTCTGCTCTTCATGCTGTTTACTTCTTTGTCCTTCTAAGGAGCTCTTATAATCTTAAAACTGCATTTCCTACTCTTAGTCAAATTCTATTACCTTTTTAATAACTCTTCCCACTGCATATTCACCATCTTGAATTGGCAATTCTAAATTCTGAAAGTGTCATTGAGATGCAAGCATTATGTCTGGGAGATGTGCCTCCCCGGGTTTGTGGTTGCCCAGGGTTCTTTTGAGACTTAACATGCTTCAGAGTGTTTAGATTAACACTGGCCAGGATTACTGGGAGTAAAAAACATATATATATATATATATATATATATATATGATGGTATGGAAAAGCATCCACATAGAGCACTTGAACCTCCTTTGTACCTGTTTGGAGAAAAAATATAAAGAGTGTACTAAACCTAACTGAGGTTATTACAGTCTGGTTGTTTGAAGTACCATTTTTCCCTCCTGTCTTTTCCAACTTTCCAATGTACTCAAGAAAAGTGAAAAATTGTAATGGATCAATTTAAAATATTTTATTTCCTGAAAGCCTTTTTTGCCTGTTGTAATGTGCAGGACCCTTCTCCTTTGATGGGAGAGACAGGTAGTTACCTGAATCTAGGTTGAAAAGGTTATGTAAAAAGAAATTATAATAAAAGGGATACTCTGCTTTTCAAATCCTTGTTTTCTCTTAATCTAGGTAAGGAATATCCAAAATAAATATGTAAAGAAGAAAAATAAAAGTTATCTTCATGGAAGCAACTGGTCTTCCTTGGTTGTACTGAGTTACAATGAAACAATTGATTTTGCCAAATGAGAAAACCAAGTACCTTCAGAGCAAAGTTTCTATGGCATATACTGTTGTTTGCTCTTGTTGAGAATCATGTAGTTAACTTTTGACTCAGTTTACTTCCTGATTTCTGATGTTGAGATGCCATACGAATCTGTGATCATTTGGCACACTTGGAAATCCCTTCCATGTTTTGACTTTTTTTTTTTAAGATTTTTTTTTTTAATTTTTTTCCTTTTTCTCCCCAAAGCCCCCCGGTACATAGTTGTATATTCTTCGTTGTGGGTCGTTCTAGTTGTGGCATGTGGGACGCTGCCTCAGCATGGTTTGATGAGCAGTGCCATGCCCGCGCCCAGGATTCGAACCAACGAAACACTGGGCCGCCTGCAGCGGAGCGCGCGAACTTAACCACTCGGCCACGGGGCCAGCCCCTTGACAGACTTTTTTACCAGGAAAGGTGGTCGTATTAATCTAGTGGAGAAAACGTTATGAAAGCTGTGAGTTTAATTTTCGTTCTGATGACAAAACCTTGAGTAACATTTAATGTCAGTGCTTTCTCACAAAACTCAATGTCCATATAAGGTACTAAGTTAACGAAAAAACATAATCCTCCTACCTTCTTAAAAGGCCTACTGTGACAGCTGCCCAGGCCTCATTCTTGCTCCTTTGCATCCGTTGTTTATTGTTTACCCATAGAAATTTGCCCTTGAGAAGGGATGCATTTCAGCTTAGAGGCAAGGAAATAGTGAAATTGATTCATTTGGGGATGAAGCTTGCGACTCTTACCAGATTAGCATCATCCTCTCACCTGCTGAGTTAAATGCAACAGAACAACAGCTCTCCAAGTACTTTTAAACTCCTTACCCTCATTTCAAAGCCCAGCTCATTCTCTTACTTTGTTAAGAAGCAATGTGGTATGACTGGGATAAAGAAGGAAAAGCATGTTGTCACTTGAGTGAGACTGCCTTAGAAATGTTAGCAAGTCAGGGTTGGGTGTTTCCTGTCTTTTGGAAGAGAACAGGCCTAAACAGTACCTTCCTCATCCTATACCTACGAGGAAGGAACCATGGTTGAGATTAGAGATGCTTCCTTAGCTGATTTTTTAATCAAATGTAAATTAAACTAACTTTAAATATATACCAAAAGGATGGGAATGGAAAACATAATGTATTGTTAAAGGACCTATTTCATGTAAATTTTTGTTTCTTGAACAAAATGTGAACTACCTAAAGAATGAAATTGGAAAGTCAGTGAGAGGAACTGTAGAATCGAAGACCGATATTTAAATTTTGAGCCTAGTAGTTGGATTTTGTGCACATTGTTTATGTGTCGATTACTTCTTGTGTAAAATGGGGAAAATATTTACCTCATAGAATTATTTTAAAGATCAAATAAAGACTTTAAAGCCTTTAGGGCAGTGTCTGGCCCAGGGTAGGTGCTTAATAAATGGCAGCTTTATCAATAATCATAACAACTTAATGTTATTGAATACTTCACCAGACTGAAAACAGAAAGAAAGAAAAGGACATAGGTAGCGCAAGTGAGGGTGATAATAAAATGAACTGATTATGTGTATATAAAATAGATTACATTAGGCAGGGATGTCATGAGGATTAGTGTGATAGTGACCTTGTTGCTAAGTGGAAAAGCAAAACAATGACGTAAAAACAAGTACGTTAGAACAGAGTGGAGGAGAGAGAGGGAGGCAGACGCTGCAGGAAAAAAAAAGCTGATTAAAAAGGGGCCTTTGATTCCACAGGCACAAAAATCCACAGCCAGGAATTTGCTGCCACCTCTGAGTCAGGCAGGGGGTGGGGGTGGGGTGCACAATCCCATTAGTAGAGAAATGCCCAGTGGATTTAGTCTGAGAGTCACATTTCTTATTTGGACCAGTGTAGACAGAAGCAAGCCCAGCTCACTTGTTTCCTGGGACAGTTGAGTTAGGGGATGGCTTTCGCAGAGCATTCAGCGCTGACCCCTCACCGCCGGGACCTCTGTAGCCGCTCTATCTGGCTAGCAAGGAAGATTCGTTCAGACCTGACTGCTCTTACGGAATCTTATGTAAGTTGCCTATTTTGCTGTTGTCTATTTTCACTTCGTCTCTTCTGATCCAGCCTCTTACCATCATGCTCCAGCCCCATTACCAGTTATGAAATCTCTAATCGTACAGTCATTCATGTGTTGGACATCTGTTATTTGACATGGCCCCTTGAGGAAACATGAGCTTTATTTTCTTTCTCTAGACTGTTTAGGAGACATGTTCCTTGAATAAGACAATATATATAGGGTTCTAGATCGGATTGGCTACATGTCTTGGAGGCTGTTCCTAATCTGATTGCCTACAGTCTGAATTCTACCAGAATAGATTAATCATGGGCCCTGTAAGTTTGGGTTTTTTACCTACCTTGTTCTGAATTCTTGAGCTGTGTAAATGAAAGGCAGAGTGAGGTTTATAGATAGGACTGGGAAAAGAGCAATATAAACCCAACCAATTTCCATACATTATTAGCCACCCACTTTTTAATTACATACATTAAAAATATCCCCCTGTCTAAATAGAAAGGTAACCTACACTATCAGAAAGATCCCTTAGAAGATTCACTGGGGAATTGGGCAAGTGTCAAATTCTTAAGGAGCCAACCATGGAGTTCCGGATTGGTTTTCTGATGGAGGGAGATCCCCGTCAATCTCCACCTAAGGCCTGCTGTGGAAATACTCCACATGCCTTTGGAGAGGTCTGAATTTAGATTCTCTGTGAATTGGTTTATCTTCATACAGCCCACCAGTCACAAATCAGACTCTCTGAAGTATTTTTTTTTTTTAAATACTAAATCTCACTGACTTCTTTAAAGAATTGGCCTCAGCTTTGAGAGCGGGCAATGGAGGAGAGGGCAGTTCAAAAAATTCTACAGTGCCTACATTCTAGGGTTGCCTAGGTGTGGCCAGTATCTTTCAGTATGTTTAAAACAGGTAAACTCCAGTATGATTAAAATGTATCAGTTTCCAGGAGGGAGTTTGAGGTGGGAAGGAGAAATTACTCTGGACCAGTGGTTTTCAAACTCTAGAACCTAATGAAAGCTGCAGATTCTGCCAAGAAAAATGAACAAGTAGCCAAAAGCAGTACGTATAATTTCAGGGAGAATAGGGTCTTCCTAGTCCAGTCACGGACTCCTGTTGAAGAGTTCCTGTTCTAGACTTTTCATTTTCTTTAAAATTTGGATCCTTGACCAGGGATGTGAATAAGATTCTGTATGAGCTTTAGGGATTGAGAATGGTGGGGTGGTTACAGAAGATGTGATGTTTTTCTGTATCGTTGGCCAGGTGAAGCAGCAGGGCCTGGACGAGAACATGAACCTGGACTTTGTGGGTGGTGTGCCAATGGCAAGCACTGTTCGATGGAGTGAGCTGACTGAGGCAGAGCGACTCCAAGAGAATCTGCAAGCTTATCGTACCTTCCATGTTATGTTAGTCAGGCTTTTAGAAGACCAACAGGTGCATTTTACTCCAGCTGAAGGTGACTTCCATCAAGCAATACATACCCTTCTTCTCCAAGTTGCTACCTTTGCTTACCAGCTGGAGGAATTAATGGTGCTCCTGGAACACAAGATCCCCCCCAAAGAGGCCGATGGGATGCCTATTATTGGAGATGGTGGTCTCTTTGAGAAGAAGCTGTGGGGCCTAAAGGTGCTGCAAGAGCTTTCACAGTGGACAGTGAGGTCCATCCATGACCTTCGAGTCATTTCTTCGCATCGGACTGGGATCCCAGCACATGGGAGCCATTATGTTGCTAATGACAAGAAAATGTAGCAGTTACCCTCTTGCTTTCTCTTCTAATGGAATATACGTAGTTCTCTGAGGCCTCACTTTTCTATTCTTAAGTTTTTGAAAACCTTTAAGACCACAGGCATTTTTGTTAAGTAGGGTTGGAGACATGGACAAATGGACATAACATTTTACCCTCGGGGGGGAGGTGTATATATGTGTTGGGGCTATAAGGGAGTGGGACAGAGGTAACATTCTTCCACCTCAGTGCTCTAATCTTTTCTACCCATTAAGTAATCTTTACAGGTATTTAACAACCTCACAGGATAAATATATTTTTGACTCTAGGATGACTCTTCTGAGAAGACTAACAGTGAATTAAAAATCATGGACTCTAGCCAATTCAAACTTGGATAATAAAGATAGTAACTAACGTTTGTTAAGTATCTGCTGTATTGAAGTAAGATGCCAGGGGCTTTATGTATATTATAATTTTCACAGCAACCCTCTTGAGGGAGGTGGTATTACTCCCATTTGGCCGATGTGAAAACAGGCTCTCAGAAATTTATAACTTGCTCAGGGTTACCCACCTAGCAGGTGGCACACTAACTTTGAACCCAGATCTTTCTTAGTCCAAGGCCTATATGCCCTTCACTTTAGAGGCCTGATTATGAACCTCTGTCACTGCACCTCTTGGCCACAGAGGGTTGGAAAATGTATCCGTGCAGTCTAATCCTAGCACTGCAGGAACAACCCCCATTACATGTCCTGAATGGCACAATTTTAGTGTTAAAGGCAGTAATTAATTGTTGTCCATACTTGGCAAAGAAAGCAGTGGAAATCTTAAGATTTTGTTTGGGGCAAAGATTAGGCCCACCAAGCTTCGGAATTTAGGAAGCTGAGGATGTGCAGTAATACAGCCTGCTTTAAAGTGTTCACTGATGCTCTTCTCTGGGGTTGAGCACAGCCTTGTACCAGGTTACGTCACGTTTATTATAGTCAGCAATGCAGTGGTACAGACACTGTAACGCAAGCGTTCATGGACGATGGGTGGAATACTACTCAGGTTAAAAAGTCACAGAACTCCTTCACCACACATTCTCAGGACTTAGTCATGAAGAGAGGGTGAGGTCCACTCTGTCCCCAGTGGGAATGCCAGCGATTCTGAAACAATTTACAACAAAGCCTTCATGCTTCACAACAAAGGGGCAGAGCTCTGCATTTAATAGACACACAGTGTGAGAGGCACCAGCTGGTAAATGTGGACATTTGCAGTCAGGCCTATGAACTAGTAGTGCAATGTGAAATCCAAGTTCTCAGGAATAGTTTGTTTCACACTACCATTTAGTTAAAACTCAACATCTTGGATTAGGGACCCAAATCAATTTTGTTTACTTATTTTGGGCTTCTGTGTTCTTTTTTCTTTTTCTTTAAGATTTTATTTTATTTTTTCCTTCTTCTCAAGGCCCCCCCAGTACATAGTTGTTTATTTTAGTTGTGGGTCCTTCTAGTTGTGGCATGTGGGATGCCGCCTCAGCATGGCTTGATGAGCAGCGCTAGATCCGTACCCAGGATTTGAACCAGTGACACCCTGGGCGGCCAAAGCAGAGTGCGTGAACCTAACCACTTGGCCACGGGGCTGCCCTGGGTTTCTGTATTCTTAAATGAACCAGGAGTCAGAGAGGGCTAGCTCCCAAAGGTTACAGAGGTGGGATGGGTGATTAACTTGTGTCCTTCCCCACATGGGTTCACATCCAAATCTCCACAAAGTCAATATTATGGGAGGACTCTGGGCTAGGTATTGTGTTGGTACAGGGGAAGGAAGGCCCTGCTTTCTAGTATGCATTTGTGTAACAAGGTTCTATGCATGTAGGAGAGCAATACTAAGTTGGAATTGCAAGGCACAGGTGTAAGTGTTATGGAGTTAAAAGGAAGCTCAATGAAGGCCAGAAATCGCTTTCTGGAGGAGGGACGAGTTCAGTTCTGTCTCAGAGGTTGGCTGAGCACCAAAATAAAGAGAGATCATGAGAGGAGCAGGGAAGAGTTGCCTGCTTAGAAGAAAGTGAGGCAATAATAAACATTTGAGTCCAGCAACCACTGGGGTTTATCATTTGCTTTTATTTCATTTGTGATTTGGGTATAGGTAGATGGTTCCCCAGTGAATGCATAGAGGCTTATTTGATTCAAGCTTTTCCTTATTTAAATTGTTCCTTCTGCTTAAGAGCAGTATTTTTGATTGGTAAAGTACCTGCTTATTAATGTGAAGCTCTTAGATTTATTTGCACAATATTTTATGCTCTTTTTGTTTAATGGTGAAAAATTGACTAAAATTTCTTAATGAGGAATAACTGATTACACACTGGCTGAATCTGAAAGGTGTGACCCCTCTCCAAAGTGTTTTGTTTTTATATTCAGCAGATATGGCAGGGCAGACATCTGTGGAAGTTTCAGAAAGTAATAGAGCATGGCTTAAGCTTTGCTGAGTTGCATTGTGAAGGAGTATTTATGTGTAAGAGGCACATTTGTAGTAGCAGAGGGTCCAGAAAAGATACAGGTAATAACTTGAATAGGAGGGAATAAGAAGGTGTGTAAGTCTCGATTAAGTCACAAAAGCAGCAAGTCTATTGTGAGTGCTTTCCCAGCTCTGTGCTAAGAACTGTGTATCAGTTTCTCCTTGAAGAAACTTGCAATATGCCTCAAAAGAAGTGTGGAGAAGCTCCTTAGAAAAAGGTAGATAAAGTAAGGGAGAAATGAGAACTTAGCCATAGTAACAAAGACATAAACATATGCGGATCTGCATGTGTAGACATTGCATCATGCTTATCTGAAAGGGATGAAACAGACTGAATAAGGGACTGACAATACAGCAATGCTCTGTGGTGTGTGTCTCAATACAGATAGGGATAATGGTGACACAGTGGACCTATTTTTTTTTTTTTTTTTTTTTGAGGAAGATTAGCCCTGAGCTAACATCTGCTGCCAATCCTCTTTTTGCTGAGGAAGACTGGCCCTGAGCTAACATCTGCGCCCATCTTCCCCTACTTTATATGTGGACGCCTGCCACAGCATGGTTTAACAAATGGTGTGTAGTCCACACCCGAGATCTGAACTGGTGAACCCTGGGCCACTAAAGTGGAAGGTGCAAACTTCACTGCTGCACCACGCTGGCCCCACGTATATATTTTTTAAGAATCCACAACCCAAAAGAGATTTTTTTTTTTTTTTTAAAGATTCTTTTATTTTTTCCTTTTTCTCCCCAAAGCGCCCCGGTACATAGTTGTATATTCTTCGTTGTGGGTCCTTCTAGTTGTGGCATGTGGGACGCTGCCTCAGCGTGGTCTGATGAGCAGTGCCATGTCCGCGCCCAGGATTCGAACCAACGAAACACTGGGCTGCCTGCAGCGGAGCGCGTGAACTTAACCACTCGGCCACGGGGCCAGCCCCCCAAAAGAGATTTTTGATCTTCAGATTTTAGTTCCCTTGTTTCTTAGATCTGTATATGGATAGGATCTCTGGGGAATCATATTTTTATATACATATAAACTATATCATATATATTAATGTATATATTTGTATATCAATAAGGTATTTAAAGGCATAAATTTAGTTCCTAGCCCCTAACTCTTATTTTGTAAAGAGAATTCCTTCCATCCCACTGTCTCCAGAAAAGTCTTCTCTGGGGGGAGAGATCCAGTTTTCCTGAATCTGTCAAGGAATTGCATGTGCAAGAGTTGATAAATTCTTTTTGCATTGACTTAGGGTGATTTGGAAAAGACTTGGAAATTAGCACAAACTCAAAGGTGAAGCATGGAATAAAATTAGCTTTAGGATAATCAGGTTTGAGGGAAGTGAGAGTTTTAACACAAATGGTAAGTGTCAAGTCATAGCCCTGGTATTGCTGTTATTTCAGGCTGCTGTGGATTCAAGCCCAATGGATGACTCATTGTTGTGACCGCTGGTCAAACAAAGAGAGGTCAAGTAAATATTTCAGGGAGATATATCTACAAAGTTGTTTAGAATGACTTTTGTTTGTGAATCCTTAGCTCCTCATGAAGAAGCTGAGTGCCTTCTCCCTCTATTGAGGAGTAAAATAGAAATGCACCAGGATGAGAAAGGGATTGGTGAAGAGGAAAAGGAGGAAAAAAGTAAAATCTGGATATCACTTCAGTTGATCTGTTGTGTGTGTGTGCTACTAACAGTGTTTAAGCCAGGGCCTAAAAACAGTCGTTTGGCCTCCTGCCTCCTCCCACCTCAGCTTCAAGCATAAGACCCAAGAATGAACCCACCTTCTGAATGTTGGTACATTGAAAAAGTGAAAGTGATAAAAATTTCATCTCTCCACTCAAAAGCTTCTATAGCGCTCTAAGGTTTACAGATAAAGACAGAGTAAAAATATAATTTGATCTTTTGATGAAATTTGTGTGGGGCATGAGATAAGAAAATCCACGTGCATGCAATTCTAATATTACTTGGATCGATCTATTTTTGGCAGATAGAAAATAAAAGATTCAAGAATGGCTAACAATAAAAATCTTGCCTCAGCAAGACCATGAGTTGCTTCTTTTATTTCTGTATCTTTGGATGAACAAGGGGAATTTCAAGTGATTTCAACACTGGATGAAATGTAATCCTCCCAGCCAAGGCCAGGCTCAATCGAGCATGTTGGGTAAATCTCCATGATGTCAGGCCACTTGGAAAAACTAGGGCCAGTCAGCCTAGAAAAGGTAGATTGCCCCTATGCCTATCAGCTAGCCTGCAGGTGAGGAAGATTTCCTATATGGTTTAATTTCAAGTATTTAATTTCAAGTGTTAATTTCAATTTTACTTCAGGTATTCCCAATGAAGCCTTTGAAAGACAGAAGAATCCTGACTAGCCCATTTCTATTCAGTTTGAAGGTAGAAACTAAGTTGTGGGAAAATCACATCAGGGAAAATATGAAAAATTGCTAAGAGATTCTATATTTTTATCCACATGTGCAAGGCGGTATCAAACGGAATTCTGCAGTTCCTTGTTATGTCAGGCACCTTACACTATTGTATGTCATTTAGTCCTCAGTTACTATCTCTCCTTCACAAATGAGGGAAATAAAAATGGACATTGACTTGTCCAGGTTCTCTCTTCCAGTATATGAAAGGATTAGAGTTTTAATTCTGGCTCCAAAACTCACTTCACTACACCCCACTGCCATGGGACACCTATACAAATCCATTCTTCATCTCTTATTCACTTTTCTTGGATAAAGCCAGCACAGACTTGTACCAACTCTTGCCCTGTGACACACTCTATTAAGTTTCCAAACTTTGGGACAAGTCACTTTTTCTGAGCTTCCTCATTTATGAAATGGAAATGACAAATAACTAACTTTACAGGTGGTTACGTGGTTTAGACAAATTAAGGATCTGAAAGTCCTTGTAAATGACATAAATATCAAATATATTTAATGGC